TCAAAATGTTATACCTGTGTATGTCTGCATTAAGACATGTTATGGGGGGGGGTACATGTACTTATTTGCATATTTAAGTAGCATGATATTTTCCTTTATTAGAGCTCCTGGAAGTTTCAATTATAGCTGCTGTAAGCCTGATGGTAAGACCAAGATTTCATTCAATATTGTACCAGACAAATCAGATTTTCACTATTCCCAAGTGCATAAAGAAGTAACTATGTCTTAATAAGGTAATTCAGAGAATTAGCACACTGAAAGTTGATGTAAGTAAGATGTGACTTTTAAGGTGCTTGTTTCAGAAAGGTAGATGACAGATTTATAAAAGATTTACCTAAGTTTTCTTTCCCTAGTCTCCAAAATACAAGTACATAAAACAGACTTCGGTCATGGAATGTGGTTCTTAAGATCGCTAGGGATGTAAACACTATTTTCAAAATAAGGTCAACATTCCAACCATTGGTCTGTCTGAAAGGATGGAGTGAAAACTGTTTAACAAGTTCAGTCCTAGGGTAAGGGAAGACCACTCACATATTTAGCAAGTCCTATTCTCTCCCAAGTTCTGTGCTGGACACTTTGTAAATATCATCTCTTTCAAATTTCATCCTCATCACGTTATTTCAAGCTATTATTATTCCCATTTTAAAGATAAGGAAACTGAAGCTTGGCCTGAACTTCTGAACTTAACATGCCAGAATCTAAAATCTGTACATTTCATTCTGTAGTTTAAACCATACTCTACTCTCTAGTCTATGAGATGCTTAATTATTGCATCAGTGACTCAAATATGGTACATGAATAATTAAAGAAGCCTACAGGAGGGGAATGATATCCAAAAAATGAGAATACGGACAGCATCATGTTACACCTTGAACTTCTCCCAAGTACTCTAAACAATTATTACAATAAATGCAAGATAAATATTTATTGAATACTTAGACGTATAAGAATATTGGTAAATGAAGAACTTGTGATAGTGATAAAACATAAAATTTGTGAGGACAAAGAAAAGAAAAGATGTTTACTTAAAAGAAGACAGATGTTATAAATAAAATATGGGCAAATACAGATGAAAAACCAGAATAGTGAAAAGTAAATGTTCTGTGAGTTAGATTCCAAGCAAAGAAGTGTTCAAGTAAAATTTTATAAGCAAGAAAGAACAATTACATTAAAAAACAGATGTCAGAGATACTGAAATAATGAGATAATGACTTTTATATTGGCCTGAACCTTCCTAGCTTAGTGTGCGTCTAGCTTTTCATTCAAACTATGAAAGATTCATAGGAACTTGAAGTATACTTAAATAGGAATCAGAAACATTTAAACATGAAAGAATTCCACCACAGAAACGTTTACCTGTAAGATAATTTTCTTAAAGATTGTTTAGGTTACACTTAATCATAACAGCTAACAAAGGTGTGAGCAATAGTGATAACAAAACATATCTTTTAGTTGAATAACATAAGAAAAAAGTACTTTCCACTGTGGGATCTGCATTTGATAAAATGGAACACTTCAGATGGGAGTTGATTCATTATTTAATTCAGCCATCAAGAAAGGTTGTGGAGTCATCATCAATTCAACTCTTAAAAAAAAAAGATAAATCCTGATCCATCCATCTTAAATGACGTCAGCTCTATGCCTCAAATTCTTTAGATAATTTCCTCGTCCTTTGATTCTGTTCTCTTTTTAGAGAAAACCATCTCTCTTAGGGTGATGTCAGAACTGAGGTGGAGAACCTTAAAATTAGAAGACCTTGAAATCCAAATCTGTTTCAGTACCTCATATCTTAATCAATAATTTGTGGCTCAACTCAGTATAACAAAACTTTTCTCTTTATTTCATCAGATGTACTACTGGGCATTAGAAACTCTAAGAAGAATTTTAAAAAGTTCTGCTTCAAGACTCAACAACTGCAAAGCCACAATAGTAAATCACTGGCATTTTATGTATATGATCTGATTTAATTCTCTAAGAGTTGTTAAAATTATTTTCTATTTTTTACAAACGAGGATATAGGCAAAGAAAGAACAATTATTTTTTTTTTGCCAAAATTCCAAATATTTGGTCAAAAATCTCCCAGCTAGTGAGTATTAAATCCAGAATTGAACCTAAACCCATGGAATCTAAAGCCTATTTTTTTTTAATTTTTAATTTTTGTGGGCATACAGTAGGAGTATATATTCATGGGGCATATGAGATATTTTAAGACAGGAAAACAATGTGTAATAATCATATCAGGGTAAATGGGGTAACCATCAGTAAAGCCCATTTTCCAATATGTTTGGAACCTATTACTAAAAGTTGCACAATTTTCTCTCCTGACTACAGTTGGAAAATGCCAATACTGTTTCATTAATAACAAAACTTGCAGTAGTAACATCGAAGTAATTGCTGTTTATGCAATAGCAAAACCACAAAATACCCCGTACTTTCTCCCAAATCTCCTGATTAAAGGAAATTAATGAATATTCTACCGTGAAAAGTAAATAAATGGATATTATTTTGTTACGAATCAACTTCAGTTCAGGGAGTTTTATAATAGTAAAACCCTTTTTTTGGCTAAATATGTATGGAGAAAAAATTATTACTCATTTTATAATAGACAAAGAAGCAATTTTTTTGTAGGCATACCTGCTTAGAGTCATGTATTTTCTCTTCAAAGTTTTGTCATAACCACATGTGCCCAGAAAAGAGTATAAAGGTTTTTTTTACCAATATAAAATAAATAAAAACAACATTAAATTAAATACATTGATAAATTTAAATGAAAATGGAAAATTCTTCACTTTGAATGACAGCATAATTCTTCACCTTGTTCACTTTCTCTCCCCCTCTTTTTTTAGCCACAAATACAACTTTATTTGTTGAAAAGCTTCCTGAAAAAGGTAGCACTGGGTGTACAGCCTGTGTTTGGCATTTTATCCCCTAAAATTTGCTTGCTTACTCCCAAGTCACTGGAAAAGCTATGGGCCCCAGACATAAACAAAGATAAAAACCCACTCCCCACAAATTTTCCCCATTGTAAGAGTAAGGCAGAACGTACCTTTCTGCAAGCAGGCATATCTAAAAGACCATCTAAGTTAATTTTAAATGTAAAAATGCTTCTAAATTAATATATACATACTTAATTCTATGAATAAAGAACTATGGCCGGGCACAGTGGCTCATGCCTGTAGTCCCAGCACTGTGGTAGGCCAAGGCGGGCGGATCATGAGGTCAGGAGATCGAGACCATCCTGGCTAACGTGGTGAAACCCCATCTCTACTAAAAATACAAAAAATTATCTGGGCATGGTGGCACACGCCTGTAGTCCCAGCTACTTGGGAGGCTGAGGCAGGAGAATCGCTTGAACCTGGGAGGTGGAGGTTGTGGTGAGCCAAGATCATGCCACTGCACTCCAGCCTGGGTGACAGAGTGAGATTCTGTCTCAAAAAAAAAAAAAAGAACTATAAGAGGCTGGGCGCAGTGGCTCATGCCTGTAATTCCCTTGAGAGGCTGAATCGGGCAGATCATTTGAGCTCAGGAGTTTGAGACTAGCTTGGGCCACATGGTGAGACCCAGTATCTACAAAAAATATAAAAATTAGCTAGTTGTGGTAGTGTATGCCTGAAGTCCCAGCTACTTGCAGGGCTGAGGTGGGAGGATCACTTGAGGCTGGGAGGTGGAAGCTGCAGTGAGCCGAGATCATGCCACTGCACCCCAGACTGGGCAACAGAGTGAGACCCTGTCTCAAAAAATAATAATAATAATAATAATCATAACTATAAGATATAAAAGTTCACTCACTGTTTTTAAGTTAAAGGTAAACTCCATGACAAAACCAAGATGTTCCAAAAATCTTTTTCCTATTTTTTTTTTTTTTAAATCAAGGGAATCCTTCCCCACATTGAGAAGAAGCATCATGCCACAAGGTGAAAATGCCAGAAGGCTACATTTTCCTTTAAACTCTTAAAATGTGGTAACAAGGTACTTTAAAAATAATACATTTTTGATCTAAAATCTTGTATAGCATTATGTTATAGAATACAGAATACAAACATTTGTGTGTATGATGAATAACATTAGAAATGACATCATAATAATCAGATATACTCTATCTTCATTTTTGTTTGCATTATATTTTCCAGCTGCTGGTTTCAGAAAATTACTGCTGGAGTTCCTCTCTTCTTCACGTTCAGCAGAGAGCAATTTGCAAAGTCATGCAAGGGTGAAAATGTGATTGAAATATAGGGATCGTTCTTAATGAAAAATGTTACTGCTTTGGAAATTATGGCTGAAACTATTTCAGAACTCACTTATATTCTTAAACCTTATGATATAATAGTCTCCATTTATAAATATACTCTCAATTGTAAATTACTTGGCACCAAATGTAAAGACTTTTTTCTGCGGAGTTCTTTTGACTGTTACATATTTACATACATTTATATTTGTGTGGTGGAGTATTTTCATCAGTTTTTGTTTTTCTTTAAATGATTAAATGTTAAGATCTTTAAAATCAAATGTAATTTTACTCATCAAAATGAAAATGTTACCCAAACCTTAGATCAAAAGGGGGCATCTTTTGATATTTTCTAAACTTCTAAATATGTATTGAGGTTCAACCTATGACTTAAAACATGACTAAACTGAAAATGATCGCTCTTTGAAGTACTATTGTTTCTTGTTTCTAAGCTTTAATATTGTGCCCAATTTAAATTTGGATGTAGCTTAAAAATCCTTTGTTCAAAGGAGCAAGTAGAATTGACTAATTTTACATGAAGATGAAAGAAAAAAATGATGGAAACTTCAAGCCGTGGTAGCACTTTGGTTTTTATAGTTTATGAAACAAAAATCTAAAAAGTATTTTTAAAATAATAATCTATATTTAAACTCTCTTTTAATAACCAGCACACACAAAAACATTTTTTGCAAGCTAACTAATGTTCAGGAAAAAAAGAAAAATGTGTATTTCTAACAGTAGTAAAGATGATTGAATTTTAAATATTCTCTCCTACCTGGGCCATCCCAGTCATCTGTCTCAACTCCAGATTGCCCCGGTTTCTCTGACTGTGTGTCCCCATCTGATTCTGCTGTCTCCTGGATTCCTTCATCATCACCTGGAAAACACCGACACAAGGAGAGAAAGAAAATGAGCAAAGCCCTCTCTTTCACATTCACATCCTCATTAAGGGTTGTCCTTATCATATATCTAATTACAGGTTTGCTATACATATTGTCATTGTACTAATAAACGTTCATGATTATTTTGATATCTATTGTGGTTTCACAATAAAGAAAATCAGTATTTGTTATCAATAAATGAATGAAGTTAAGTACTATAAGCAATAAAAAACATTTCCATGTAAAATTTCCTTTGGAGTTCTTAATATATATAAGAAGAAAATGAAATTGCAGTTTATATTTTTTCTAATACTTTTGATATAGAAAAACTTAACTCATTTATTTCCAAATTGTAACTTTTCTAAAGATAAGATGCAGATAAATAAAGATCGTAGAATAAGACATATCTATGGTTTTGGTTGAATTTAGATTACTTTGAAGAACATTTTTATTTTTCCCCAGCTTTATGCTTGCTAAGACTGGGTCTTATTTGTTTTAAAAATATAGTATTAAAGGCCATAATTAAATGATTAGCCAGTGATTCAACTCCTCACAATAAAGGAAACTATAAAGCTATACTTTTGCTTGAATAAATACACTAGTTTCTATAATTGTAGGCCATCATTTTCACATTAAAAAGGCAGTAACATTCTGAGCAAAAATAAAGTTATGGCAAAGGAGAAACCTTAAGGATACAACCATATTTTAAAAGTAAAAAGTCTAATTAATGAGTACCTTCATTTTAAGTGATAATGTAGCAAAGTATGTGCTGCTTTTAAGGAAAAGTAATCCACTTTAACACAATGTATACTTTAAAATATTAACTAATATGTTGCCATAAATGGTAATAAAATAAAAACAAAATAACAAGAAAATATGAAGACAAAAAAAAAATATTAAAATCACAGCAACTATGCCTTGAATTTAATAATGCCAAGTTTTTTTGTTTTGTTTTGTTTTGTTGTTGTTTGTTTGTTTTTGAGAAGGAGTCTCACTCGCTGTCACCCAGGCTTGCGTGCAGTGGTGCAATTTCAGCTCACTACAACCTCCACCTCCCAGGTTCAAGCGATTCTCCTGCCTCAGCCTCCCAAGTAGCTGGGATTACAGGTGCCCACCACCACATTTTTAGTAGAGACAGGGTTTCACCATGTTGGCCAAGCTGATCTTGAACTCCTGACCTCAAGTGATCCACCTGCCTCGGCCTCCCAAAGTGCTGGGATTACAGGTGTGAGCCACCGCACCCAGCCAATAATGCCAAGATTTTTAAATTAAATTGCTTGCCTATCTAGCTTTCTCTGAAGTATCCAAAAACTATTTTCCATATAGGTGCCCAACTCTGTAATACTACTTAAATCTTCGTATGATTATACAAAAAAAAAAAAATTGACCTTCTAAAAACTTTCAAAGTTACTTAGAAAATACAGAATTTTCAGGAAATCATGATTATGATAAATGACACAATGTGACGTTAATATGAGTTTTGAAGTTAAAATTCTATACATTTTATTTTCATTTCTATGTGTAGTTTCATAAAATAAATTTAAAAACTGGAATAAAGGTAAGGAGAAGGAATGTAGAAACCCAGGGTCAGCTCTGTTGAACTCAGTTTACTTAACAGAGTGCATGGATTCTGGTGGATATTAAAGAATAAAATACATAAACCACACCACTGAATCTCATGTCTGAAATTGAAAGATTTTTGAAAATTGATTTATCTTTTCCTTTCAGAACTATCAGAATGAATACCAATGAAATTCCCTCCATAATATATTTATTGAGCATCTACTATGTTTAAGAAACTGTGGTAGGAGCAGTATGATATTTACAGAAAAAGACAGTCCCTTTTTGAAAATATAAACACAATTAAGGAGAGTAAGTTGACAAATGAAAATGCAAGGTAAGGTCCAAGTTTTTAAAACAATATTTTAAAACGTTTTTAAAACAAATAAGATCAAGTCTTAGCAAGCATAAAGGCACAAAGGCTCAGGAACAAAAAAGGGTTTATCATCTGTGCCCCTTTTTGCAGGTTACATAGATGCTAGCCCTGAACTAACCAAGTTCCCTTCTGCCTGACTGTACCTGCTCTGGCCCTTCTCTACCGAGACTCCTCCTGCTTCTCTCAATCCAGAAACTATGGGATGAAAGCTTCTCGCAATCCAGGAACCATGGGATGAAAGCCTGGTGAGCAGAAGGTTTATGGTATCCATTTGGATTGGTCAGATCCCAGGCCTTATCAGTAGTCTTTGAATATCACCCCTGCATACATGTAAGTAGTGAACTAGTGTCATGTAATTAGCAGACTGGCATAACTAGAATCACAATCTTAGTCTTGGTGGAGAACCCTAACGTCTCCTGGACATTCTCTGCTTGCCCCTTCTTGCTGGCCCCAATCCACTCTCTTCCTTCTAGGCCCTGCTTTGTGACCCAGGGATCCTGAACTCTACTATAGACTCCAACACTGGAGCTCCCTTGGCCTCTGATTTCTAAATTCAGCCACCAGAGGCACTGACAGCATAGCAGAGGATGAGAGGTAGGAGGGGAGAAAGGTCAGGTATTCATCCCTTATTCCCTTCCTTCTTGATGGTCTTCAGTTGCCAGCAGTGACTGTATCGCAGAATTAGAGCTCCTGTTCTATGGTGCCCTCCTGCACCTGCATCAGCATCTTCTCTTGTGTCTTTTGAGACCAGAAGTGCTAAGCTTCTGACTACGGTGAACACTTAGATGCTTCCCAATCCTGGTTTGTTTCCCTAGTCCCGCCCACACCTTGTATACTATCCCTTCACCAAAATCCCTTTAGTTAAACCCAGTGACCACATCATCAGTTTCCTGATGGACTCTTACTAATACACTCCATTTCCTCCCAACTTCTTATGCTACTTTAATGATCTGGGGCCAGTCACCATGTATGTAATATTTTGAGTGACACTTTCTTTAAATTGACTCACTTTTTAATAACTTATTTCATAAATTTAAAAAATATATATTTTAAAAACAAACAACATATATGAAAATCAAAAAGTTTATCATTACTACAAAGGGAAAATCAGTATCACATGCCAAAAATAGAAAGTAATCACAAAAATAGATTTAACAAAAATACGGATAATACTATTAAATGCTAGCTACCATGTCTATTTAGACTCTGAGTTTCTATCTCATTGCTTTGTATTAGAAAGAGTAGCAAGTACTAGAGGAGTATTTAAGTGATAAATGGTAATATGAAATTGAGACATTCTCACTGATATACAAAGAATATAAGAAACTTAACTTTTTTAACCATTGATTCAAGGCTATTTAATAAAATATCAGTGTACCATCTTAATCTTCTTGAGTGCCACTAGGGATACCTGACCCAATTTGGGGAAATGTTGACTTTTCCAACACTTAATTTTTCATGGAGGCTAGAATCCACACAATTATTTACCACTTAGATGAGTGACCTTTTGATTACATTTCCACAGACTGAATGGAGTTTCACTCTGGGAGCTAATTCAGGGATGTATACAAAAGGAGCCGTTCTCCCCAATGATAAAGAATAGAGAATATACCCTACAGTTTTTAAATAGCATCCACCCCTTCCAAGCACTTTTCTCATTCCTTATGATTCTTGAAACACAGGAATTTGAGCACCAGAGGGGACTTTGGAAATCATGTAGCCCAAATTAGATCAACTTACTATTCAGGAAATTGATGCACAGATAGGGTCAATACCTTATCCATGGACTTACAGCTACCGTATTAGTTTCTGCATAAGGAACTTCCCCAAATCTCATGTTCCAGCAATAAGTGCTTCCCACACATCACAGGGGTGGCATACTGAAGCAGTTTTATGTAAATCTCCTTTCCCCAACAAGCAGGATAGTAGGGCTACGGCATCATAAAGGTCACCAAGAACAGCAGTTTGTACAAGTTTAGAAATTAAATTTGAGTCTCCTAATTGTTAGTCTGGCATTCTTTCCAAAACATCCTTTCTCTTTATATCTCTCCTCCAGTTGAGAACTGTGAACACCTGAATAATAATCCCAGAGCAACCCATTTACAAGCAACCATGAAGCCACACTGTTAAAAATTATATAGCCAAGGGCCCAGATCACAGAGAATAAAATCTAAGCAGAACCACTTAGAGAAGTTATTTTATATTCAGGTATTAACTGTATTGTCCATAGATTCACACAAAGGAGTAAGCCTTCCTGCACCTTACTTTTACATTTCAGTCGTTGGAAACCTATGGTGCCATGCAAAATTCAACCAATCATGAACATTACTCACACATACTTTTGAAAATACAATGAGAAATATGAAAAAGGAAAAAAAAAACAGTATTTTCTGTTGAGGACTATATAATCTAGTTGGGGAAATAGGCAATATGCATGAGAGCAGTAGCCACTGATAAAAACCTACAATTAAGATAGTTCATGAATAATTCCAAGTGATAAGACATAAAGTATAGAAATTCAGAGATCAGAAGCGTAGAAAGAGACTGACCATGAAGAAGTCATATAATGAATTCTGGAGTTCCACCCTCACGTTGACTGCAATGAGATGCACTGGAGGTGTTTCAGTGGGGGGACTGATATGACCCTGTGATACAAATACAGTAACCAACCTATATTGACTAAGTTCCTTTGAGCGCACCTTGTCAGACTTTGGGTCTTTTGAGTTCTCCCTTACTCATCTGTAACAACACTAATATCTCAAACATTCTCTCTCCCAATTTTTGTGAGACTATGGGTTAGTCTACCCCAAAATACTTTATTAGGCAAATTACATATTTTTGGAAGAAAAAACAATGAGAAAAAATAGAAAGGAGTATGTCTGGAAGAATACATTGCTGATTTAATCAGAGTTACCACAAAAATTAGAACTTAAAGAAAATGATCCAGTTGAACTGATAAACGTTCACCTCTGTTACACAGAAGTGATACAAAGTGTTCTTTATTCATTAAAACACAGCTTTTTGAGGGCCAGGCACTGTGCTGGGCACTGAGAATATAAA